TCTGGTGTGTTTTTTTTTCTCTCTCTGTTGTACACATTGTGTGTGTGTGTGTGTGTGTGTGTGTGTGTGTGTGTGTGTGTGTGTGTGTGTACTATCTCAGTATCTGGTTCCTGAAGGTATACTAGGACTGACTTGTACTGAGCCTGCCAGGACAGCAGTGTTAGTCCTCAGGGCTTCCTTGAGTTGGGAAAACAACTTTGCTTTACCTAACCCAGGATCCCATTGATGTTCACATAATGGTCATCTCTTTGATTCTGAGTGGAGGCAGGTAAGAGCTTCAGCAGGTGAGGGGGGGACACTCAGACTTACTTCAGACCCAAGCCCAGCCTGATACCTGTAAGCACATCTTAAAAGAAAAAAAATACTAAAATAATTGGCATATTACAAAGCTTGTCCATACAGCAAATAGAGCTCTGTAGATTTTTAGTGGATGTACAAAGTCAGGAAATGTTAAGCACAAGAACCATGAGAGGAAAACCAGTTTCACAAATTTTGAGACAAATTTGAAGCAAGCTTTAATTAACTATTGGCCAGGATGATGGACTCTGGCCAGGACCATTTTGGAGTTCCCAGAATATGGTGACAAGTCACATTTTGCAGAAACTTAAAAAGGCTAGCACACAAGGCCACCATATTTCCTGAGCGGTCCAATCAGGGGCAAGCGTGCATCTTGAAGTATTTCCTGCCCACATGTGATCAAGCAATCCAGTGCAGACGGGTCAAACAAACTTGTTTAGGGAGTGAAAACATGTGGCTATTGTCTCCCATAAACAGCCTCCAGCATTTCAGGAACTGCCTGTCCTTGGGCAAAGGGCTTGCAGGTTAGAGGCATTTTTGTTTCATGGATGTCTTAGGCACAGTAATTAAAACCCAAAACATAACTTTGGCTCTCATAACAACTATTCCCAAAGGCCAATTTTAGACCATGCTGAGCGTCTAGGGTTACCTCACACGATGTATCCATTTGGTTATCCTATCCTATCCTAGGTACCCCCAAAGTTCTGCTCTTATTCTATGAATGCTTCTTCACAATGGGGTCAGACAAGACCCCCTTCCAAGATTTTCACAGCTGGCTTTCACAAGAGTGTTTCTCAAGGCCTGGCACACAGTGGCTCTTAGCATTTCACTGTTTTGTTAAGAAACAGGATTTCACTGTGTAGCCTACAGGGCCTCCAAACTCATGCAGTTCCCCACTCTGGGCCTCTGGAGTGTGGGATTATAGGTTGGAGTCTCCATGTGGTGTTTATCATTTGATAGGTAGGTGTCTGGGTTGTCATCATGAAGCATCATCCATTGCCAGGTCATGGGGCGGAAGGGGCAGAGGGCTCCCTGTCGATTTTTGTCACTTTGTCCAGAGAGCTAACAGAGGGGAAAAGTGAGACTTTTACACAGACCCTTTGGGTTACTGAGGCTGGGGATTCTTTGGATAGGGGACTTAACACCCAGAAGGCCACATCCTCCTGGTGTGTGGGCTGGCCAGGGACTCGGGTCTGAGGATGATACTACTGTAAAGGCCAAGGGTTTCTTGTCTGACATGTGCCCCGTGACCAGCAGAGGTGGGGGTGCTAAGATGCTTTGAATTTTAAAACCTTTTATTTTGGAACCTGAGCCATCATCACCTGCCCCAGGGGTGAAGTCTAAGCATTTCTCCTTTCTCTGATTGTCCCCTGGGCAGCGAGGTGACAGCATGGTTTCTGCCCCATTCCAACCCCTTACTGGAATTTCCTTTCCTGGCTTTTCCTACTGCTGGGGGGAGTTGCCCTCTCAACTCTAAGCACCTCTTAGAAAAGTGAGAATGGCTCATTAGCACCTTAGGCACGGGGAGAGGGAACCCCTGTGGTGTTCCTTCTAGTCTCTGGTTGCTTGCCTTGAAGGTGTCTAAGGGATACACCCCGGAAGGCACCTATGCCCTCTTCATGGGCTGAGGACCCAGGCATGGCTAGAGGGGAAGAGTAGGGGCTCTGACCACACACACTATACTGCCCCCTTCCCATGGCGGATAGATGAGGGTGGGAAGACCATCCCCAAGAAAAGGGCCAGTTAACCGGATGCCAAGAGTTCCCTGGATCTGCCTGGAAAGTGCATTCAGGAGAGGCACCGCCCTCGCTTCGGGGCTCCTCCTCTCCGGTGGGCGGGAGTGGGGTGGGGGTCCTGCGAATGCTTTCTGTCCTAGAGCACCAGGTATGGGGGTGGGCGGATCATATAACCCAAGACCCAGCGCCTACGTCCCCCAGGCTTTGTGCAGTCCAGGTATTTGAGACCCCTCCCCATGACCACTCATTTTCACTCCCAGCTCCGTGACGTCATGCTCCTCGCGTGGCATGATGGGAGAATCCTAATGTTTTCCAACAGATGCTCCAAGAACAGCTTTCAGATTAAAGCAATTGCTAGAGCAAAGATTCTCCCTTTTCCCTTTTTTTCCGGGGGAAAAAGTTTTTATTTCCTGGTTCAACTTTTTTTTTTTCCCCTGGAATATAAACTGAAGAATGGGAATAAATACGAATAAATAACAAAGCGAGGCCGCGCACGCCGGGATGCGCCTGGCTGCAGCCTGCACGGCTTTTGTCTCCCCACCCTGAAGCCAGCCCAGGCGTCCTCCTCCGTTCCTTCCCTTTCCTGGTCCCCTTTGCTTTTCCTTTAAAAAAAGACACCCCCTCCAGCCCCCTCGCCGGTGACCTTGGCTGCCTGGGATGCTCTGATTCCGTGTCTCCCTCCAACTTGCCCCCGCGCCGCCTTGCCCATGGCCGCATCCGAGGACGGCAGCAGCTGCCTTGTGTCGCGGGGCCGCTCGCAGAGTGACCCCAGCTTCCTCAGCGACTCTTCAGCCACCTCCACGGACGCCGGGGAGAACCCAGGTACCGGGCCAGGCGGGGGCGGCCAGGCAGGGAGGGGGAGACACGAGGCAGGTGGCATGGGGACCACTTCCTTGCATGCCAGAACTCCCCCTCCTTCAAGGGGGGAATGGCCTGATTCAGGCGCCACCAGGGCCCTAGGTTCCTGTCCCCATCACGGGGGGCTGGGGCGCCTTGGAGCCCTTTGTCCGGAGAAGAACCGCTTTGCTGGGTAGAGCTGGGTGCTCTGCAGTATGCCTGTTAGCCGGCTGCTGGGCATCATAACCCCAACAGGGGCTTGCTGCCCTGGGCTGCCGCTGACTGCCCAGGGGAAGGGTTCATGGACCACCTCCGCCCAGGGTTGGTGCCTACTCTGTCCTCCAAGCAGGCCCTCCCGTGTTCTTGTGTTCCGCACCTCAAGGGTTAGGGTAGCACTGCACCGCTGCGGTCACCATGCCCAGGGCTGTCACTGGGCACCAGGACTCCCGCAGGGCCTGGCGCACCTGGGCGCGCCCGCCTCCCGGGACAGGTGTGCAGGACAGAGCTGCTGTGGGGAGATGAAGGGTGTGCACCCGGCGGAGCTGGATTTCTTCCACTCTGTGGGCTTGTCCACTCCTCCACACCCAAGGCAACGTGGATTGTTTCGGATTGTTTCGGTGATAAACAGGTCACAGAGGCGTCTATGCGGCTTGATTGATGACTTTCCTGGGACCAGGGAAAGGCCTAATGAAGCAGGAGGGGGTGGGCTGTGTGCTCCCTGTCACCATGGAGACGCAGGAAGCAAAGTGATCATTAAAACCTTTCTCCACCAGAAGGCAATTTTCACTTCTCAGGGAGAAGTCAGAGCTTCTGAAATGGATCTTTCAAAAAAAAAAAAAAAAAAAAAAAAATCAAAGCTGGTGTGTATGGTGTCAACTGGAGGGGTTCAGGTCTGTGTCTTTATGAAGCGAAATCCTTCATGGGTGCTATTTGATAACATTCTGTCTCCCTTTATAGAGGGGTTCTCTAAATGTGAGAACCCCTGAATGGGGACTTAGTGGTGTTGAATGATTGTTAAATGATGGCATTAAAGTTGAGATAATTCCAGGGACCAAGGAGGGCTGGCCTTGTGGGGAGGGATTCCACAAGACCCATATGAACTGCCCAGAAAAATCCCCCCTTTAAAAAGTAGCTCTGTGGGTGCCTGGAACCTGGTGTGGAAATTTCAGATCATAAACCCACCCAAGTCTTGTAAGATACCACTGTTGGGACTTCCACAGGATGTTAGTAGTCACACCAGGTCACACCCATGTGCCAAGAGAGGGAAACCCTGACTGTCACAGCTAGGAGGGCAAGTTAGTTTCCATGGAGTTTTCAGGACAGCAAGCAGACCCTTAAGTCACAATGAAACCTTGGCTTAGTCACCTGAGAGGAAACACCCATGAGAGATGGCTTTCCCACCTCTCTGAGATACAGACTCTTCCTACTATGGAGATGAATGGTCCCTTACCAGACAATCCTTCCGTCTCCTTTGTCTCCCTGGCAGTAAAAAGAGGCAAACTTGAAATGGAAATTATGGGGGACTTAGCTCTGTGGCTGTCTGTGAGTTGACGCGTCCATCCGTGGGTGGCACTGGAGAGTTTGGCAGGTGGCTGCTGCCCATCCAAGAGGGAGGGAGAAGGAGCAGGGCTCCCATACCCAGTGATAAAATCAAGCCACGGAAGGACATGTGGTGGAGTTGTTGTCTGGTTCGAATGGTCAAAATGGAACCAAGTGGAGCAGTTATAGCGAGTTTAAAGTCTAAAATGTGTATAAATTTCATGAACATCGAGCCAGGTAATTGAGCAGCCATGGATTGTGTTCAGTGGAGGGATTCTGGCCAAAAAGAGTCAGAATTTTCAGTTTGGAGGAGACCCACAAGCCTGAATCAGGAAGTGTGCTTACATGCTCCTCCTTAGGGTGGGAGACTTGCTAAATTGTGGTGTACTGCCCGATTGTCCGGGCTTGCCTTTTAGAATTCTTGAAGTGTCTTGATGGGTCTGCCACCCATTCACCCTGGTATGCTCCTCCATAGTGCACGTGACTCGGGCTTCCAGAGGCTCTGCTGTTTCAGTCAGTTCTTACCACAGCCTTTTACCTGATCCTTCATTGAGGGTCTCTTCCCTCTGTGTACCTGCTGCTCTAACTGGGGGCTCCTGGTGCTGAATCCGGCCACTAGCCACACAGTTCTGTCCATAGAATTGCCTCTCTCTATCCAAATCTTCTGTTTTATAGAACAGTCCGAGGTTGCTTTTACCCCACCCCGGGCATTTCAGCCAAAACTTAAAAAACAAACAAACAAACAAAAAATCTTGGGAAAGTAGACTCAAGGTTGTTCAGCTGCCTCTTTCCATCAGTGTTATCCTGCAGCGTACACTGCTCGGCTCTACCCTCGTCCTCCCTGTTACAGGTGCACAGGAGTGGAATCAGCCACTGGGGTGTGCCATGTGGGAAGTCGTCAGTGTGTGGATCTAATAGCCTTGGCTGTGGGGAGCTTGCCACACTGCTGTGTCTGCCTCTGTTGAGAGAACTCTTGCCCTGGGGAGACATAAATGAATGTCCAGCCCTTCTCCTCTTGCAGAGGACAGCGGCAAATCCACATGCAGTTCTATCAAAATCTAATGTGGAGGCATCAATGAGTTTTTTGGGGGCTTCCTTATAGTGCATGGGTGAGTTGCAAACAGGAATGTGGGTGGCCTTAAAACAACTACACTGGTACCAGAGAGTCTAACCCCAGCATGGATAACAAGTGTCCACAGCATGGGTGGAGTTCCTCACCCAGTCTTCCATGGTCTCATATATTCTAGCACTGCCCAAGACCACAAGGCTGCACGAATCTAGGGCAGAACTGTCTATGGTTAGCAGGGAGGTAAAGAAAGAGGGGCTTTAGTAGCACTCCCACCCCCTCCTATAAAAGAACCTCCACAGTCACCAAGCCTGGTCTCAGGGGCCCTTTGCAGATGGTCCCAGTAGATGTGATAGAGGTGGCAGCTGTCGTACCCAGAGGACAGTGTTTTACAGCAGCGGTAGTGCAGTGATATCCCAAGGAATGTGGTTTTCGAGTTTAGCTGTGAGGAACTCTGTTGTGTCCCGTGTTTACCCATCATGACCAACACAGTGGCGAAGGCATACACTGGCTTGTGCTCATCTGATGGATAGATGCCAGCTCATGGAATGTCTGGGCCACATGTTTATTATCCTAATGACATTGCTCCTCCTGGTCACTCTACCCATTCACACTCCTTACAGGAGCTGTTTGCAAGAACTGTGCCAGTACCCACTGCTTAAACCCTTGCCAACACTCCAGGCCATGACTGCATTTTCCTTAGCATGAAGGGTGACAAATGGGGTCTTGTGATAATTTGTGGTTCCTCGATTGCAGGGAGCACATTTCTGTGGCTTCCCTGTGTATCAGGTTTCTCAGCATAGACTGGCTGCAGGGATGAAGTGATCTCTCCTAAACTGGTCCTCCCCCTGTGTCAGTGTCTCAGCCCCGGCCATGGAGCTCCATCTGCCCCTTGTAGGGTTCTTTTTGTAAACTGAACTCAGCACCCGCAGTGGGATTAGGTTTTCTTCCAGAGTGAAGCCTGCAACAAGCCAGGGTGTGTTCCATGAGTACCCCTCCTCCCAAGGCTCGGGGTCCCTGGGGATCCAACTTTCTCTTCTTGTGCTGTCAGGTGCCTGGCCACCTCCTACCCCATCCTGACTTGGCATCTCCCTTCTTTGGCCTTCTCCTATCTGTGGTCTTTCCTCCTCTCCCAGCTCATCACCTCGGGCTCCAGAGGCCAGGACCACAGACCAGACAGCAGCCACTGGTAGTGCTTTTGAAGTGTTTCCATGTGGCGTTGGATGGACTTTCATCCAGGGTTTGCTTTAGAGGGGCCATTGTACAACCAGGCAGGACCTCTGCACCAGTCTTCAGCTCAGTATCTGGCCGTCGGTGGTCAGGGTCTCTGTGTGGCAGGTCATCTGTGCCTGTGACAAGGTGCCGAGTGGACCTGGCCTTTATCCTTTATCACCTGATATGGTTTGGGATGGGCCGGGTGGAAATGAGCTAGGAGATTACAGTCAGCTGTCTTTCTGCAGCAATGGGCCACCTTTGCCTGTGGCTCAGGGAAGAAGGAAGACTTTAGAAGTCTCCTCTCCAGAGCTGCACAGTGGTGTGTGGACTCGGCTCTTAGACTCTGGGCTGCTGTGGCCTCCTTCCTCCGTAGCCCATTCCTCCTGTAACTCAGCAGAAGCCCCAGCTGGTTGTGGTGTTCTCACCACACTTTTAGCGTGTGACAGCGTATCTTGACACCTTCTCCCAATCCTGGCCTCTTGAAACCTCCCACTTGTTCTGTGTCTTCCCACTGTGGGCTGAGCCTCCCTTCCCACCCCTGAGACAGCCTCACCCTTGACCCCTCTTTTCTCTCGCCTCTCTCTCATTGACTCCACAGAGGGACAAGTCTTCTGACGTGCCGATCGGTTCTGGGTGCTCCTCCATCTCCAACTCTCAGTGGGGTCCTCTGTCTGGGGGTAGTGGGGGCCATAGCACAGCACTGCCCGCTTGGATCATGGTTCTTTTTACTTGCAGAGTGTCTACATGAACTTGAGTGTTCTCTTCCTCTGGAGTCCTGAGTTCTGGGGATCTCCCTCTGGCCCCTTGCAGAGTGTCTACATGTTTTAATTAGCAGTAGAGCTACTCAGTAATTACCTTGTCAGTTTCTTTAGGGTTATTAAAAATAAAAACTACATGCTTTACAAAAAAAAAACAGAGTTAAAAAACTCACAGTGTTTTCTGTTGACTATGAAAGCGCGGTGGGTGTCCACGCGGAATGTGTTTGGACACTTCTGAAGTTCTTGCCCTGGTCTCCCACACAGAAACCAGTGGCCATGAGCTGCGCAGCAGGTACTGGCCATGGCTGATTAACGCTGGTGTGTTGCTCCCTTTCTGTCTGGCTTCTTCCTGATCACACAGCCCCTGTCTCCCTCCACCCTTCGCCATTTGATTCCTGTCCACTTCA